CCCCCCCCCCTCTTCCCCCCGTCGCTCCTGACCCGTGAAGTCGCCTCTTTGGCGTATAAAATTGCATCTAAGGCACCGTCGTGACCAAGAGGACGAGTTAGCCGATAATTACGGATAGCGTGCGCCGCCGGCAGAAAACGCAAATTGCGGCTTTTAAGGTCTCCTTAAAAGCAGGAGTCTCCACGGCGCGAATCCAGGTCGGACGGTCGAACAAGAACGCATGGTCGACGACCCTGATCGATTTTTCCCTATCTGCCCATTGTATCATTTTGCGTTCGCGAACAACGAACCTCGAGTAGGTTTACTATTATTCGTCTCTCGCACTCGCGTCTCCCTCGGTCTCTCGTCGAGAAGAAATTTTCTGGCGGGACCGCCGTACGTCGAAATTGTGGAGTCCTGGTGGTTGCGAAATCAAGCTGTGAAATAACGCGTACAATTGAAGGGTAAATCAAATGAATGCGATAACCGGCATACAAGAATCGGAGATCTTTGATTAATTATAGATGATTACACGGTGCGTTTTTGTGCTGAATATTTCAAGCTGGAAGTAGGCAGAAGTTACATGTTAATGTTAATTGACAAATTAAACTCCCGTTGATTAATATCAACTTTGGAACTCGCTGCCGAACCGTCGTAAGTACCGTACTTACCGAAGTAACAATTACGTTCACAACATTAAGGAAAACTCACAGGCGCGTAATCTCCGTCGATTAAGGAGTTCCCAGCGTATTTCCGGTGGAGCATCAAAAGGGCCTCTCATAAATTCCCTTTATCGAGCAAAATTTGCTTCCTACATGTTCACTTCATTAGCCAAATAATAAATATTAATTTTTTCAACGAAGCTGAGGTAAATATATATACACGATATTAGAAATACGAAGATATTTGCTTTTATTTTCCTTATTAGTGTTATATTTATGCATCGGTTGATCTAATAAAGATGCACAGATAGAGGAGAAAAATATGTAATCTTATATAAGCGTTTAACATATACATATTTATACGTACTTCGGGCATGAACTATTAAAATACATTGCTGCACTTTCAAAGTGAAATGGTCGACAATTCTGAAATTTGCGTATAACGTCAGCATAGCTTTTATCATCAGTTTATCACTAGTCTTTAATATCATACTGGTTCTTCACCAAAGTCTTCTGTATAATTTAGAAATCATCGGAAATAAAAATTGCAAATATCACGCCAATCTCAAGGAACACAAAGTGTCGGATTCAGTCTCAGGTGTACCTCAACTCTCAGCTCAATCAGTCTCACCCCAATCTTGGGAGCAGTTTGAACAATATTTCAGCGTACACGCGGGCTCTCCGTCGAATTCTCATCCAGTTCGCTTTGCGACCTCCTTGAAGGAGGTGCCGGCGACGCTTCGGAGGTGAGCCTGCGACTAGACGTGTGAAAGTACCCGCTGCACCGCGAAGAAAAGTAGTTTCCACGCGGTTTTCAGCCAGCATCTGCGCCCGTAAGAAGGAAAAAAGAAGGAGGGAGCGGGGAGAAACGAGGAGTCGCTCGATTACCCGGTCGGAAGGAGCGCCGTAACTCGGGGAGGTCGTCCGCGCGAGGTCGGACCTTGCCGGAGTCAAGATCAAGATCAAGGCGCGGTCACCGCCGAACCCGGCTGCTCTTCGGCTACGTGAATACGATAACGCGCCTCGCCACGATATCCTCGCTCCCCCCCGCTCCTCCCCGCGCCGCGCACACGCGTGCATCGGCGGCGGTGACCTACTGAGCGCACCGTCGAGACCCGCGCGCGCGTACAATCCGCGCGAGGAGGAGGAAGAGAGCGGAAGCACGACCCGCGGGCCTCTGGTCGCGCGACGCCGAAGATGGAATATCGCTTCGTCGAGATAAATCCCGCGATGAAAAACCGCGCGCTCGCGAAGCCGCCCCGAATCGCGAGATCGAGAACGGATTCCCGAAAATGTCAACGAGATCTCGCGGTGAACGGAGAGAGAGAGAGAGAGAGAGAGAGAGAGATGAAACGCGCGAACTTGTAAGCTGCAGGATATAAAGTCGGCGAATTGAAGGCTACGCTGATGATTCCTTTCGACGATGACTTTTCGCGACGCGTCTCGCGTCCGATAAGAAGAGGTAAGCGAGGAACGTTAAATCGATCTTCCGAAATGTTGGATTTCACGTGGATTTTGCAAGTATTTCGATATAACGTTTGGTAAATGTTTCTGTAAGCTGTTATTTAGTTGTAATGTTATGTTCGGAAATATTAAAATCATAGGGTAGTCGACATTAATTTTAATGTCTGGGTCAAACATTGTTAATAATGACGTTTATATTTAATGTAAGAAACGTGTTTATATTTGTATTGATATATTTTGTGTTATCTTCGCTTGTCAAATTTATCAACTTTGACGTCCTCTTGAGGATTACTAAAGAAAAAGAAAAATCGCTTATCACACAAGCGTTGCAATTTTTTTGTGACTGATTATATACGGATACGAAAATTTTCACGAGATTGCAGGGAGCGGGACGAAGTGAAACGGGAAAAATTGCAGATACGTAATCGCACGTCAAATTGATAATCGTATTGTCGCATATGTATTGAGCGATTTTGCCGAGGTAATTGCAGAAGTAGCTGGGAGACGCTCCGCTGGTAGAATTATTACTGGTATGAGCCTGATCTTGTTGTGACAGAGAGATACGGAGACACGAGATTTGCGTTCTCCGACATTTTTACATCAAATCAAATTAGAGAGGTAATCTCTCTTTCTCTCTCTCTCTCTTATTGCGTATCTTGCTGTGCGTATTTCCAGGTAAAAGCATGTAGTAAAATTAATAGTCACCGTTCCTAATTCAATGTTGACGATAAGAGGCACATCGATCCAGTCAACTTTCTTGAAATATACATGGTTACATGGTTTACCTCGTTTTTGCAGCGTACTTTTGGCGCGGCACAAAAAATTTTCTGTTAAATTTAACACATTTCACATGTCCACTTAAATTTCCACTCTAACGGTTCATTCGAAATTCCGTGTTAATTTAACACAGAAGGTGAATATGTTGAAAAGTGACACAAACATTGTGTCAAAAATTAGCACGAAATTAATATACGTTAATCGGCAAATAAAAAAATGAAATGAAATATAAAAATGTGCTACTTTAACACGCATGTTGAATTTCGGGAGGACGCAAAATATTGAGATAATATAAACACAATATGTTAAATTAACACGTGGATTCGTTAGAAGTGTGACGCAAAAATTTTCACAAGAATCGACCTTAACGCAAGTACAAAATCATTTTACTAACACCGAAGAACGCGAGTCCTCGGTGAGAGAAATTATAGTTGTTTTCAGCCTCAATATACATAGTATATCCTTTCTTTTATTTTAACAACAAAAATACAGCAGCAGCAATATGCATGCAAAATTACTATCACTAACACTAGATTAAAAAATCAGTAGTGACACTTATTTAATATTTTGTTACCAATAACACTTATTTAAAAAATTCCCCTGATTATAATGCTTTCACTATAACATATAGTTATGGCATCATAGACCAATATTTTCCTCTTAGTGCGTCATACACATTAGAATTCAAAATTCAAGACTCGAATGAACTTTTCCTCGATTGTACCTTTCTCTTTCTCTCTCTCTCTCTCTCCCCCTGTCTCATTACGACTCATCGCGTCACATTGTAGCAAAACTAGGCGAAGTACGCCTCCAACGTAGCCGTGCTATCATCCGACACACACACGAGCGCGCGCGCGCGTCGTTCTTCTTTGTTTGCAAAAGCGCGTCCTAGAAACCCGCGCGCACGCGCGCGCATTATTTCGCGAAATTAATAAAAGCGCACGGAGACGAGGGGGGCCTCCTCTCCACGTGCGATTTAATCGTGTCAATTTCAAAAAGTGACACACTAGCTGAAGGCACACAAGGTGCTTCTCTCTCTCTCTCTCTCTCTTGGATTCCCTCGGATCTGCGCTGTCTCTCCCCCTCCTCCTCCTCCCCCCCCCCCCCCCCC